TAACCTAAGTGAAATCGAAAGTCCTAACTATTTATCCTCATAAATTTCTCGATCCTGTTAATTTGATTTCGTTATTTAGTTTAATAGAACTTCAGTTATAAAACACAACTTGATGTAATAATTGGTTACCATTGAAATTTAAATTGAAGTTAGATTAGTTAAAAATTGATAGTAGATACTAGTATATGTGAGAACGATATTTGGATATAAAAATTCACTTTATAGCCTGTCACGATTCGTATACTTATGAAATTAGACGAACAATGTTTATTCGATTAGTAATTAAAATAATTGTAAAAATATAAATTGTGATATGATTTGGCTAGTCATATGGTTACGTGGCATGATCATGACAGTCAACTGTCCAATAAGATAATGTTGGTTGTCTTCAAAGAACCTATGGTATTAGTAAGAACTTCGTCATTGACTTACCACGAATGCAACGAAATAGCGACGGAAAATAATCCTTAATTTTGAAGCCCTTCAATGGTTCGTGGTTAACACCTTTGAATATCTTCATGAATTTATGTTGGAATAAATGTTTTGTATCAAAACTTCTATAAATCTTGCAAAAAAGAAAAAAAATCTATATTCGATCCTCAGAGACTTCCTCTATTGACAATTCTCTTGTATGCAGGGAAATGTTAATTGTACACTCTAAAGCATACATCATGTTTGACATTGACTTTGTTTTAAAAAAAATGTTAAAAGGGATTATTATATATACCAAAAACATCATTGTTGTAAGAATCATGTATATTGTATCACAAGCATGTGGCAAACTGTCAAACTTGGTGTACACCAAAACATGATTGTTGTAACAATTATGTATATTGTATACCATGTTCCTCCTATATCTCTCTTGATTTGGCTCGAGTCCCTTTTTAAATATATTTTTAGTCATTCATCTTTAAATCTTCACAATTAAACCAAATTCCACGATCGTACAAAATCGATTTGATGGAAGTTCCATAAATTTTCAATTTAGTCCTTAAACTTTTTAGTTATTGAACTTAACTCCCAAAACTTCTGAATTTCTTTCAATTGCTCTCTTTAGTTCTTTTAATTGACCACGTACAATCCAGATAATATTCAATTTCTTAGAATAAACTCTAAGTAAGTTTCAAAACACCCTTTTTCAGTCAAATTGTATCCAAGTTCGGATTTTATCTACAATTAACATAATTTACACATAATTAGATAGATATTTGCTCAATTAATACATAATTAATCAAGTTTAGAAGTCCGAATAAGTGCATAAAATATATTTATCAAATATGATAAGCTCACATCACGTAATAATCGTCACTTTGAAAGCATTAAGAAAATTAATCCCAATGCATACCGGTTGAAGTCGCCTATCCACATTTTGAAGGCGAGTGTTCAATGTAAACCATTTATTTCCATATCACTAGGACAAACTCTTCCAAAAGTAGCTTCGAATACAGTTTGAGGGCGAATCGAACTGGCTCGTAGATGTACAAAGGCCTTACTTAGTTATCGTTAAAATTTTTAAATTCAAAGTCATACTTCGTTGCATTCTATTTTCAACCGGTAAACTAATATTTTAGAATCAACAAATTAATCAAACTCGTAAACTTGGAGTAGAGTTGAATGCTACACTAAATATATATTCCAATATTCCTTTGTTGTTACCTTGTCAAACACACTCCAAATTAAAACTTCAAATATTCAAAGGTTCAAAGTAAATTGGTGCCCTCAGAGGAAATTAAGTGGGCTTGACGTCAACAAACCTCTACATAAATTCATCTCCGTGTAATCGAAGTAAGGGAAAGAAAATGAAATTTTATTTTAAAATATTACGACATCTCGAGTTTGATATTGTTTTTTTTTCTTTACAACATTGCTTCGGTGGCAAGAAAACTTTTAAATGTTAAAAGAGTTTTTGATGAAAGAATAAAATTTCACGTAAAAACTCAAACTTGTTAATTCGCTCACGTATGCCGAGGAAGAGAGAAAAATCTCGTTGATTTTAATTATAATCAAAATAATTAAGAGTGTATTTGATTGACTTTATGGAAAATATTTTTCAACTTTTGGTCATGCGACCGACCATATTTTCCTCAAAAACAAGGAAAACAATTTATCTGGGGAGGGGTAGGTTTTTATTTTTCAGGTAATTCACACCCTTTCTATCTCTCGCTTGCCATCTCTCTCTCTCTCATTTACCCACTAATAAAAAATGGATAAATATAATATTTTCTAACTTGAAAATTAAACCAATTAAATACATTTAATTAATAATTTCCATGCAAATAAGTTATAGTCAATTCAATTGTCTAGAATTTTTTTCATACAAATTTCATACTCGCAATCAAATGCACTATAAGTGTCTTGAAGGCTTACAATCCTTATTTAAAGCAACGATAAAATTTAGACGATGACTAAATTAAAGATAGTGACGAAAATTAAAAGTCCTAATCTTAAAAATCAATCCGTAACAAATGGAATTGAATTATGAATTTATTTAATAAAACAAAATTATCAAGAATATGTGGAAAAAAAAAAAAAAGAAGCACCTTTGAAGGCTTAAATAATGGAATTTGATCGAGAAATGTCATACACAAGGGGCAAAGCATATGAGATATGCTCATTGAGCGGTTTGCACTCAAAATTGACACAAACGTTTTCAAAAACAGATAGCACGAAAAATTATTTTTATTGACATCGGTCCTACTTTTTCATTAAATCTAATTTCTATACCGCATCCGTTTCTATTTCGACCATGTTTTGGGAATTTTAAGAATTTCAGAAAAACGTTTCCTAATTTTTATTATCTTAACACAAACCTAAATTGCATGAAATTCCTGTTAGACCACCTCTTTTTTCTACTATTATGACCCATTAAACTTTTAATTCTTCACAAATCCTCCAGTCAAAATTCAAAGTTTGTGAATAAAATTATAGACAGGAAATATTCAAATCCTCCACGCGGCCACGCCCTATATATAATACCAGCATCCATCATTCATTTGCATTTATTCTGAACAAATTTTATCGACTCTTGAACAAGATGAAAATGTCCAGTGTTATTTTTGCTGTCATAGCAGTAGCTTTTCTCCTGAGCATTAGATCATATGAAGGTGCAAGAATTCTTGATGAAGAAGAATGGATAAGAAGAGGACATCTTCTTTTGCCATCCTTGCCGGGCAACACCGTTCGACCGCCTTCACCAAACGGATGTACCTACATCCCTGGAGGCGGCGGCAGCCCATGCCCGAACACAATCGGTGAGAAAAACTTTGTAGGCCGTGTTGTGGCTGCTCCTCCTCCTCCCCCGCCTCGAGTTAATACTGACGCATACCCAAGGGAAATGATTCAATTTGGGGTGGCTACTGATGGTCGATGAAAACGCCTGTTGCAGACCTTTACGACAATTTTAACTCGAATGGACCTCACCGAAACAAACTGATTATTTTATTTTTTTTCATTTTGTTTGGTTCAGAGACCAAACATTTTTTTTTTCGTTCTTTTGTGTATAATATTTTAGTGTACTTCAACAGAAATAAATGAAAATCATAAAATCAACATTCCAGCTTTGTACATTAATATGTAATATTTTTACCAGAAAATTGAAGTTTTTGACATACAGCATGGTTTTGTTTTTACGTTTGAGTCTCGTTCTTTTTTGAAAATGTTTTTTCAAATAGTATATTGATGGAGAATATGTGGATAAAAAAGAATGAAAATTTGTTGGTTTACGCATGGTGAAAAGAAATTAGAAAAAAAATGCATTTCCATAAAAATGAGAATAAAAAAAGGCCTAAAATACTTCTATGTGCATCTTCAACGACAACACGGAGTATTAATTAAGACCGAACTATTAAAATAATTTTTCTTTAACTTATTTTCCTTTCTTAACTATCGGCATTTTTTATTAATCAAAAAACTAATTCTTTATTCTCCTTATGACTCATTCTAGTCAACAGTCGAATTGTGATGGATTGAAATATATGTCAAGCCCCTATTTGATTTCGATAAAAATAAAATTTATAATAAATTTTGATAAAATATATAATTGAAAATTTTGAAAAAAGTTGCCATCCTTTGAATGTGTGATTAAAAATAAATTTGGAAAAAAATAAATTTTAAGAAAATGAAGGTGAAATACGGATCAAATATTCAAGTCATGCACTTTGAATATTGTTTCCCCGTGTGCTTGGGGTGGCCAAGAAGCACCCACATTGATAGGTTTTTACATCTCATTTCACATCATATTGTTACAATGGACTTTTTATGAATAAAAAAAGTTCAAGCTCGATTATGGTGTGAGTTGATGAATCAAAATATTCATTTTTTGCAATTCGAGCTTATTACTTTCTTGCATTGTTTACAAATTTAAGTGATTTTTTAACTTTTATAATGCATGACAATTGAACTTGATATATATTCATTGTTTGGGATGTAGTGTACTTTTTTTGTTATCTTGAGTTCGTACTTTTCTTTTTAAGCTAATGTTTAAGTCACATAAAAATTTTCATTTTTATTTTTCAACTCATTTTCAACCATACAGTTTTCAATAAAATAATATTTTTCATAACATCAATAACTTTTTCTTTTTTTTTATCAACCATACATTCTCCAACAATCTACTATTCCAAATTACATTCTTCCAAAATAATGTGACTCAAACACACCTTAAATATAATTTTACCTTTTTTATTCAAACAAAGTGAGTTCAATATGTTGACTGTAATTTCTTGATAATATATATTTATGTATCTAATTAATATTTTTTATAGCATTTCATTTTAAGAATAGAAGAACTTAAGTATTGTTCATAATTAAATTATATGCTCTAATATGCCTCGCTTATGGATCGAATAAGATTTATTAAGAATAAATCATTTATTCTCAAATTATAATTCAATTTTTGATATTTTAATTTTCTCTTATTTTCGTGATTTTTAGTATCCATTATTTTGCTTCTTGAAAATTTCTCGGTTGAATTTTCTCCTTTGCACAAACATTTTCGAGTAGTAGTGTATTAATATATGCACTGAAAGGGCTTATATGAAAATATTTATTAAATTTATATAAAAATTGTTATGAGTAGAACCAAAATTGAACTAAAACCGACTGTTTGGATTTGGGTTTGGTTCCTATATTTATGATGACCCAAATGATTTCATTTACGAAATACTCGAAGTATAATGAGTGGTCTGTATTAAAATGCTTGGACCGATACACCCAACTCCAGGTCTACAAGTTGTAGACAAATAACTGAACAAGAATAGGAATGTGGCCCTCAACAAATGGGTCAAAAACTGCAACAGAAGCTGCAAATGGAAATAGAAAAGAGAAAATTACCTAAAACCCTTCTTTTCAAGATTACATTTCAAAAATAAGATGATAAAGTTTATATTTCAAAATTCAGGTGGTAATTATATTTTATATGAGCTGTAATGGTCAGACTAGTTTGGGCATAGAAACAACAAGAGAAAATTACCTAAAATCCTTCTTTTTAAAATTACATATCAAAAATAAGGTGATAATGTTTACATTTCAAAATTCAGGTGGTAATTATATTTTATAATTATAATTATTAAAAATTTAATTAAACCTATCAAAAACCCCCAAATTCCCAATTCATCCATAACCCTATCTTCATCACTCTCTACCCGTCTCTCTCTCTCACTACCCTCTCCCTGCCAAAAAACGTAGCTCCACCGGGAGGAAGGTCGCTGGCACTGCTTCGTTGGGTGCAGCTCCACCGCTGTGCAGCAGCGCTTCAATCTCCCCCCACATGACAGCCGTCGAGGGCTGCTGAGAGTTCTTAGCAGCGTCGCCGGCCGTTATTCTTCTTCTTCTTTTTTTAATTTTGAGTCAACATGTGGGGAACTTTGTGGATGAAGAGGTACGACGGAAATGGTAATGTGTCATTGGTCGATTAGGCTGTTGATTTGAGGTATGAGTGTGTGGAGTTGGATGCTTACTAGCGAGAGGTGGAAGATTTGGCGGAGGCGATGTGGGTTGCGGTGTATGATAATGGTGGTTGCGATATCGCAGTGGTAGGTTTGGAGA